AGAGGCAGGCGGATCTCTGTGAGTTCGAGGCCAGCCTGGGCTACAGAGTGAGTTCCAGGAAAGGCACAAAGCTACACAGAGAAACCCTGTCTCGAAAGACCAAAAAACAAAAAAAAAATTGTAAAGATAAAAATATGAACATTTAGCTGGGCAGTGGTGGTGCACGCCTTTAACCCCAGCACTCGGGAGGCAGAGCCAGGTAGATCTCTGTGAGTTCGAGGCCAGCCTGGTCTACAGTGTGAGATCCAGGACAAGCACCAAAACTATACAGAGAAGCCTTGTCTTGAAAAACAAACAAACAAACAACTATACAGAGAAACCTTGTCTTGAAAAACAAATAAATAATAAATAAATAAATTATATGTATAATATATAGAGAAAAATAAATTGTATTTTCTAAAATAAAGTTACATTTGAAAATACAGAGAGGCATCAAGGAGTATTTCAGCTCCACAAGCAGCATTATCCACCCAAGAATCACCTGGGTGTCTACTAAATGTGCAGATTTCAGAGCACTGCCCAGATTAGCTGGTCGGAAGAGGCTCTAGCTCCAGACTTAATGACCATTCCAAATAGTACTAATGATGCCTCAATCAGAACCATTCCCCAAGGCCAGTGATTCTAAGTGTGGTCTCTGAGTCAGTGGCATTTAACACCATGTAGGAACTTGTTAGAAATACATGTTTCAGTTCTCTCTCAGTTAAAAATCAGAAAGTGGGGAGGACCTCAGCAGTCTGTGACGTGACTCATGCGTCCTGAATAAGCTATCGCTCTTTTGAGAACTACTGGTTAAATCAGAAGCATGAACTTTAATCACAGACCTGCCTAAGTAATGCAAGTCGCTTGGCTACTAACTGGCTACTAAAATGGCTAGGGGTGTTGCAAAGATTGCAAGGGATGATCCTGAGGATGATCCACAGGAACTTATCTGGTACCTGTGATGTAGACAAAGCCAATCTAGTAGGAAATAAAGGACTAGAGATACCTAACCACAAAAGGGACACGTGTCTAGATACCTAGACACAAAAGGGCTGCAGATAATGCTCGGCTGACGAGAGAGCACTTGCCTAGTATGCATGAAGTCCTGGTTCAGTCCTCAGTGGTCATAAACTGAATGTGTTGGTGCTTGCCCATAATCCCAGCCCTTGGGAAGCAGAGGCAGGAGGATCAAAAGTTCAGTATTATTCTTGGCTATACAGGCCAGCCTGGGATACATAAGACCCTGTTTCAAATAAATAAATTTTTTAAAGTGAAGAGATTTTATCATGGCTTCCAGGCATAAACCCAGGGAAATCTACTTTTTAGCTCAGTATGACAAGTTGTTTAGCCGAACTCTTCAAAGATGTGATAGCTTTATCTCAGAGGATGATGAACTCTCCTTTGCTCTATTTATTCCAGAATAAGCAGAAAAACCACTTGGTAGGAATTCAGAAATATTCAGACATCAGGTCATTCAAGCATCTGGTCTCTACTTAGACCTGTGGATGATTTTCAGGAGTCTCCTTGCCTCAATGTCTCATCATTTCATGTTTAGGTTCTGTTTGTCCTAGTAAAATTTCATTGTGCTGTCATGGCTTTCTAAAGCCACCGCTCTGCTCTGGATTGTTCCACAGGGCACTGTGGCCCCCGTGACCCTGGGGAGTGCTGTCAGGACTTCAGTGGGTCAGCTGAGGGGCACTGTGACCCCGTGACCCTGGGGAGTGCTGTCAGGACTTCAGT